GATGTAAATTAGTTTCATATTAATATTTTTTATATAAAGATAATCCTATATTAATCCTGTTATAGTCTATATTTATCACATTCTGATATGATAAAGGAAACATTAAAATTAACAAGTCTATAAGTTATGAATGAGCACCATTATTACTTTTCCAAACATCATCAGTCACTAGTCAATTTTACAGTCATGTCACAATCAGCCTCTCATTTATATTACATAGTCAAATGTTCACTTTGTCTGGTTTTGTTGCAGTCTGTCCCATTTAAAAAAATTATATATTTTTTATTAAAAAATCTATAAAAAAAAAGATCTAATGTTATTAAAAAATCAAAATCAATGTTTTTATGTAAATATTTTATTTTATTTTATTTAATAAAATAAGAATAAATATTACAAATTCTTTTTTAATAATTTTAATATTACTAAAATATTAAAATTAAAAAAATTTTGATTTTTATTTAAATTTTAAAATAAAAAATCTGATTATTACTCTTTTTGTTACTTTAAAAATTAAATAAATATATTTTATAAACCCATTATTTAGTATAAAAATAACATAATTATTATTAAATTTACGAATATGTTACTTTAATTTACTGAAACTTTTAAAATAGTATTAAAACATATATGGGACCTTTGAAATAGAAAAGGGGAAAACGGCCGGAAAAATAAAAAATGAGTTAATGCTAAATCTAAACATATTTTGACCTAAAAATCATATTTGGCATATAAAAGTAAAATTTATTTTTCCGGCCGTTTCCCCCTTTTCCCATATATTTATTTTGCTTATTATTATTTAATGCAATTAAAATATTCTAATCCCTAATTTATCTAATTATTTTAAAACAAACATATTTTTGCTAATTATAATCTAATTTTAGAATTTCAAATTTATGATAACTGAATAATGCAATAGAAGAAAAATGAGTTAATAAATCTGAAAATACTTTATGGTATACGGCAGTATTTTAGTTAAGCGGAAATTAATTATTAAAACAGTAGTATTGCAACGTCCAATTTATTGTGATTTGGTAAAAATTTTTGAAAAGGATTATTTGGGTTTAAATCATATTGGAATTCTTTCAAGAGTAGCATATTTTTTATTTTGTCATTGTACGAACCGTGGGGCTTTTGTTGTGTAATCATTTATTGTTTATATTCTGGTTAGATTTTTCTCAGTAAATATAGAAGCTTATGACGAAATATTATTCATTTTCCGAAATACAAAATTGAGACAAATAAATTCTTGCGACTTACCCTTGAAAAATTCGACATTTTTCTTTCTTAGTTTTACTGTTATCTGGCATACTTTTAAATGCACCAATAACAAATAGATTAGCATTAACCATTTCAAGATACTTGATTTTCTTGTTTATCATCTTTGTAAAAGTATTTGTACCAAAATGGAATTATATCTGTTCAAAAATATTTAAAAAAACTTTGTTAATTTTAAGTGATTGTGCCTATTGTACCTGCATATACAAACGAAATATATCATGACAAATGCGTGACAAGAGTTTCACATAATATTAATTTCACGTGGCGTATTTAATAATCCAATGCCTGCATACGCTATAAAAATTTACACAATTCGTTGAACAAATTTCTCTACTTGAAAATTTGGAATAATGGAGAAACAATACAGCATTCCATTTGGCCCTGAAACTGAAAGAGAAACTCGTATTCGTCGTTCTATTCTTTCTCCTAATGAACTTTTGAAAACTCCTGTTGAAGGTGTTTATACCCTTTACGACGTCTTTCAGTACGGCGTCAAGACTCACGGAACCAAAAATGCATTTGGAACTAGAAAACTGGAAAATATTATTGAAGAAGAAAAAGAAGTTACTAAGATAGTAAACGGAGAAGAAAAAAAAGAAGTTAAAAAATGGAAATATTTCCAGCTATCTGGTTATAATTGGTTAAGTTACGAGGAAGCTGCAAAGGTAGCTTCACAAATTGGTGCTGGATTAGTAAAATTGGGCCTTGAAAAAAATGCCAAGATAACAATTTTCGCTGCAACTAGGTACACATAAATCTTTTTCTTAATAAATCCACGCGTATAATTTATAATTTTTACATAATTCCTAAAATTATTTAAATTTTCTTAGCGCTAATTGGTTACTCGTAACGCATGGTAATATTTTTTGATGAAAATTCTTTTCTTCATTTCTCCGACTAATTTTGTATTATGATCGATTTTACCTATTCATTAGGCTGTTTCACCCAGGCGATGACCATTGTTACTGCGTATGATACTCTTGGTGAAGAAGGACTAATCCACTCAATGAATGAGACTGAGGTTCAGGCCTTGTATACCAATGCTGATTTACTTCCCATGATAAAAAAGGTTGCAGGAAAGTGTCTTAAACTTGAGCATGTGATCTACGATGGTGAAGCCAATGGAAAGATTTTGGATGAGCTAAAGGATGAATATCCTAAACTCAAACTTTACACGTTAGATGAATTAAAGCAATTGGGTAAAGATAATCCAATAGATTCAAATCCTCCATCACCAGATGACTTTTGTTGTATTATGTACACTTCTGGAAGTACGGGAAACCCAAAAGGTGTTTTATTAACCCATTCAAACTTAGTAGCTGCAAGTAAGTAAACATTCGTATGATTGATATGGTATTCGTAAATTTATATAACATATCACTAAATTTTTCTATCTTACAGTTGCTGGTATTAATAAACTGCTTCAAACTATTATTCTACCTGATGACACTTTGCTCGCTTATCTTCCCCTTGCGCACGTTCTTGAATTTACCGTGGAACATGTGTGCCTATTCTGGGGTGTGTCATTGGGTTATGGTACCGTACGTACATTAACTGACGCGTCAGTGCGTAACTGTCTTGGAGATATACGTGAAATGAAGCCGTCCCTAATGACAGGTGTACCAGCTGTGTGGGAATCTATTAGAAAAGGAGTTCTATCAAAGGTTAATGCCGGAAGTCCAACGATACAAAGGGTTTTTAATGCCGCATTTAAGGCAAAAGGTTGGTTAATGAACAAAGGTTTACCAACCAAACCTTTGGATATTGCTGTATTCAATAAAATTAGACAACAAACTGGTGGTAGATTAAGATATGCTTTATCTGGTGGTGCTCCAATTTCTAAAGAAACACAAGAATTTTTGTCCATCACTTTGTGCCCAATTTTGCAGGGTTACGGCATGACCGAGTCTTGTGGGTAAGTAGCATAGCAAGCAGTTCCGGAAAATTTTTTATTTAATAATTAATACATTCATTTCATTACACATTTAGTATGTGCGCAGTTATGCCCCCTGAACAGTTTGAATACGGAAGTGTAGGTTCGCCAGTGCCTTGTTTGGAGATTAAATTAGTTGATGTATCAGAAGCAGGCTACAAATCCACAAATACTCCAAATCCTCAAGGTGAAATTTGGGTTCGTGGACCTGTTATCGCTAAAGGATATTATAAAAATGAAAGTCTAACTAAAGAAACAATAACTGATGATGGTTGGCTTCAGACTGGTGACATTGGAGAATGGCGTCAAAATGGTACTTTAGCGATTATTGACCGCAAGAAAAATTTAGTAAAGCTTTCTCATGGTGAATATATCGCTCTTGAAAAACTTGAATCTGTCTATAAATCAACAGTTTACGTGTCCAATATCTGTGTTTGTGCAGATTCATTTCAATCTCGCCCAGTTGCTTTAATATGTCCTGTTGAAGATCGTCTTCGTGAAGTTGCAAAGGAAAAGAATTTGGGTAATTTGGATTTTGAACAATTGTGTACACATAAAGATATAAATTCTGCCGTTCTTCAAGCTTGCCTTGCACTAGCAAAAAAATCAGACTTTAAACCTGCAGAATTATTATCTGCTATTGTATTAGTACCCGATGAATGGACTGCTCAAAATGTAAGAATATTTAATTTATAAAATGATTTTTCATTGGTATACTAATGTTTGATATTTTTTTTTTTTTTTCGCAGGGTCTTTTAACTGCTGCTCAGAAAATTAAACGTAAAGATCTCCAAGACAAATATAAAGCAGAAATAGATCGAATGTACGGAAAATCATCATAAAATTTAAATAATTTATTACTTAAATAGGATGCTGTTATATAAAAGTAATCAGGATATTAGCAATTAAACTTTTAACTGAATTAACTATATATAATTTATCTATGGCTGATTAGCATAAAAGAATAAGATATTAATATTAAATGTATAATCATCCTTATTTTATTATTTTATTAAATAAAAAAAAAAAAAAAAAAAAAAAAAAAAAAAAAAATTATTTATTTATTTTGTGTATTTCAAAAAAAATAAAGCGCAGTATTTTGTACATTTATATGTGATAATGAAAATCACAACGTTTGATTTAAAAAAGATTATATAATTTAAACCTTCGCCATTCAGATCTATAGAACGACCAATCTATATTTTTATTTTTATTTTTATTTTATTTGTAAATTTTTCACGGCTCTGTCCTTTACTGTCAATAGGTAATTACGCTTTATTGTAACTTTAATAATTTAGATCTATTGATTACTAAACCATGTGGTCGATTTTCAGTGTTTGTCTAACAAAGATGTCATTTATTTTGTAAGAGTATTATTTACTATTAAAAAAGAAAAAAAAATAAGTTTTACAATCGAGCAATGATTTGCTTATCGTAACTATAATAAAGAAAAATATAGATTCAAGGATTTGTGAGGCGGCAAATACTGTTAAACTTATACTTGTTAAGCCATTAAATAATCTAATATTAAGAAATTATTATAACTTGAAAATCTAACTTCACGTTTTTCTGCTTCTTCAACTCGCAGGTTTTTTGAAATTACTTGCAAACCCGTTTTATTATTACACGAGAGAATTAAAAATAGTTTATTTATTCCTTACTGAAAACTTTTAACTCGAAAGTACGGTCAAACTTAAAAAGTATATATGATGATTTTATCATAATTATTATAAACTTCAAATGAAATGAAATTAATATATATGGCACTCTTTGTATTATGATTTCATAGATGACAAGCGAAAGAGGGATAGATAGCGAGGATCCAGAAATACTTGATAATCTAGAGGACACGGAAGAAATAAAATGTATTTGTGATAATTCTGACGATGATGGATACACCATTCAATGCGATTATTGCTTTACTTGGCAACATGTTGGGTGTATGAGAGTTGATCCTAAAGTTGAGGATTACAAGTGCCATATTTGTTCTAATAGAAAAGTAGAAAAATTACTAAAGGACGGTAAAAAATCCAGAAAGTATCAGAAAGGTCGCCGCGAAAGTGAATCGGGAATATATCCTCTTTCTGCTACACAAATGGACGAGTCAAGCACCACAGGCATACCTAATACAAAATCACGTAATAAGTCCGATCCACCATTCATTGCGAAGGACCGCCAATCAAGTTCTTATTCCAAGGATTATGAAACCATAGATAAAAATGTCATCGCATCGAAAGCAGTTGAAGAACTTTTCCCCAAAATTTATTCACAATATCAAGCTCAACACAGAAAAAGATCCATGTCACTTTCATCCTCTTCGAAGATAGACAATGAAAATATTCGCGATGATAATCAGGAATCGTCATCTATTCGATCGATGTCGCCTAGTTTGGAAATTGGCAATCCATGCAGGATGGAAAAGGAATCTTTAGCTCGACCACTAATGAAAACTATTGTTAAACAGATTAGCCAATCCCGGTCGAAAATGCTAAAAAAGCATTTAAATTGTTACGGATTATTTGCAGAGACAAATATTTCTACCGGGCGTTTTATCGTTGAGTTCAAAGGTGAAGTCTGCTTCAAATCAGATTATAAAGCTTATGAAAGCAATCAATATTCCTTATTGGGTGTTACGCAGCCGTTTGTTCTATTCTATCCTGTATTGAACCTCTGTGTTGACGCTCGTCGATTTGGCACCGAAGCGAGATTCATTCGTCGGTCGTGTCACCCTAATTCCGAATCTCGAACCATAGTAGTACCAGGTGGTGACGATCAACAAGTACATTTGGGAATTTTTGCTAAATCCGAAATTTTAAAAGGAAGGGAAATTACAATTGGCTGGGACTGGGAATCAAATCATATTGTTGACATCCTGATGCAAGATTCAAATTTTGAAAATGAGGATTATGAGAATATTATCGCGAATAAAAGAGATGAAATTGGGAAAATCGCAACAGCAATTTTACGGTTAACAGAATGTGCATGTGAAAACAAGGACGATTGCATCATTTATAAAATGCAAAGTGAAGGAAAAATATTAAGTAAATCTAGAAAAAAGAAGATAGCAATGAATGTTGAGGAGATGTTAAACGAAGGAGAAAAAGAATCGTCACCAGTAAATGATGATGATTATGAAGAAGATACGGATATACTAGTTGCATCTGGGAATGCACAGAAAAAACGGGATAATGTTGGTTTGATGCGTAAGGCTAATCGTAAAGCCAAGCCAAGTGTTGAAAAACTAAATGAATTATCACTCAATGGAAATAATAAAAACTCATTAGAAGAAAATGAAGTATCCGGCCAAATAATACGCAAGGAGAAAAAAAAGTCGAAAGAAATAGATACGATTGCAAAGTCCGATAATATTGCTCAATCTAGTCAAAAAAGTAAAGGAAAATCGGTTAATCGAATTCGGGAAGAGCCATCCGGAAACATCAAACGAAAATCTCTAAGTTCTCGAAAAACGGAAAAATCCACGGGCAACAAACATTCCCGTTCATCATCGATGTCTAAAACTGGCATTTCAAAACGGAGATTGCAACACAGTGATGATGAGGAACAACATTCGGATTCATCTTTATCATCATCATTAACTAATTCCGAAATGTCTATCGATGATGATCTAAATGTATCTATCATACAAGTAAATCCTCCTGATCGAAATAATGTAGACACGAATAATTCTAATGAACCAACTAAGGATAGTAGTATTGAGGATCAATTACCAGGTTCGCGTCAATCAAATCAACATCTTTCATAAAAAGAGCTACATATAATATTATTTATCATCTTTAACACATTTCAACTTTTTGATGGCTTATTAATTTCATCAAATAAAATAGAAAATTCTATAGAAACTACAGGTATATGTGACATATCACAATCAAAAACCATCCTTCCGCGGCCACTTCCACCTGCGATAAGCGGAATACCTTTTAAGGACTATCTTATTCAAATGCATGAATGGAAAAAGGCTGTCGAAACAGCATCAACTTCTGCATTAGCAGGAAATTATAATAATACATCTTTGCCTACCATTCATGAGTCTAATGTAGAAACTACTTCTGAATGTGTAGAGCTAGAGAATAGTAAATCCAATGGATCTAAAAATAATTCTAACGAAATCGAAATGGATCTATTTACGGATAAAGATGGGATTGACCAAGATGAAGGATTAGTACCATTATCAACACCCATTATACCAGCAAAACGAATGGCAGTTAGTCCTAGTCCCACACCGATTAATCAAAATGGGACAAACCTGTATATTGAGAGTGGTTCTGATGTAAAAGGAAAACGTCAAAAGATTGAAGAATGCCAACCAACTAAAGGAAAAGGAAGAGACGAAAAGGAACAAAGCGTCAAAAGTTCACAAGATATTATGACGATAATTTTGGATAATAGTGATAACGTTGAAAGTACAACCATTATTGCCCCCGGAGATTTGAAAAAGCAAGTAATGGATTCTTCAACCTCTAATAATAATGAAGGTTCGAAATCCTCAACTTCTATGCCTAAAAAAGTAACTCTTGATGAATATCGTAGTCAAATAGCCATCACAGCTTCATTAAACAAAGAATCATGTGAGAAAAAGTCCACTACAGCAGATTCAAAACCATCAGTATCATCCGCAACAGAAAATGAAAATAACGATAATAAACTTATTGACAATAATGACACATGCTCTACAAAAGAAGGTGTGAAAGTTCCAGTTAAAACAAAACTTCCATACCAAGACAAGAATAAGTTAGCAGAATCTTCTAACAATAATAGTGTGGATATCCTGAAAAAATCCATAGAACAAGTACCTAGTAATACTATTGAAGAACCTAAACAGAAGTCAAATGTAATTGAAAACAAACCGATGAATGAGCAAACCAAATCCGAGGAAGTTATGAATTTAACCGTTAATGTGTCACCGAAATCGCCTAAAATTTTTAATATGGCAATAGAGGATAATAATACCGCTAGTCAGTCTTCTATGATAAATGATGGATATTTTCCCGAGGTTGATTTACCATTTGATTTTCCTACTGCCACTTTGGATACTTCAAAAGATATCGAATACGGACGTCATACCAATTCTAGTCATTCAGATGGTTCATACGAAGAAATAAGAGGAAGACACTCACCTTCTTATAAAGATTATTCACCTGCTAAATCTTCTGGTAATTATAATCCTTCGTTTAATAATTTGCCCTTGGGTGATAATTCTATACAGACAAGTCCTCGAACTATGTCTCCACCACGAGCACCTCGTTTTAGTGGTGGTAGAGGAAATCGCATGCCATATAGGAGCATATCTATGTCCCCAGGAGATCGCCGTTATCATGGCGGATATTATAACTCTTCCGCATCCTTATCAGCTACACCGAGGCAAGGTGCACAATCTTCAATGATGTCATCACCATTATCTTCTCCCTATGATCCGGCGAACCCAGATGGACAAAGTGCAAATATATCCAATGAACGTGATCCGGCTTTAGATAATAATGTAATAGGAAATAATTCCGGAAGTGGGAATACAATGGAACCAAAAACGCGAGATTACGCGAGGCTTAGTGGAGATAGGTCAGATATACGTGATAGGAACTGGGGTTATAATAATAATAATAATTATTTTAGAGATTGGCGAGAACGAGACAGAGACGATGGTAGAAAAGATTGGAATAACAAAAGATCGGATCATTATAGGGATAGAGAATATACTAGTTATCCTATGATGGCTACAAGGAGGCCTTCAAGTGGTCCGCATCAAGATAGATACATGATAGGATCAGGTATATATGATGGTAACATTTGTAACGTTCCAAGTTGCACTTAATAAGTGTGTTATTTCTCTTTATTTGTAGTACCTACTGGTCCAGCTGCTGGTCCTAATCATAGTCCGTCAAATATTTCTAAAAATAATGATCCTTCGTCTTCATCAAATAATTCCTCTCAAAGATTCGTTGATGTAAGTTAAAATTCTAGGATGTTTTTTTATTTTTTTCATTTATCTAAACTATTTCATTTATTCAAATAGGATCATCGCAGAAATCGGCGTTGAATCTCAAACTGAGTAATTGTTTTTATTGAATATAATTGCGTTTTATGTTTAATATATATATACATATATTATAAAAAAAAAAACTACTCTTTGCCGGATCTTAGTCTTATTTTTTCCTTTGAAAATTTAATCGTGTAATGTATAAACTTCTAATAAATTCTTTGTAAAATAAAATCATGAAAAATATTTATTATAACTTAATTTTCAAGCTATGCTTTATGTAATAATAGTAATTTAGACAACAGATTTCTGAAATATGATTATATCTTAAAATATTTAATAATATGTATAGATATTAAACAATCAATAATATAAGAGATAATAAATAGATTAATCAAAAGTTTTCTATATTAGTAAAATAAATCTTAATTGTAACTTTAATCTAATAGTAAGTATTAATAAGTTAATATTAATTAAATTATTATTTTAAAATAATTAAAAAATATTAAATTATTTAATGTGTTTTTATATTTATATTATTAATTAAAATAAAAAAATTTTATAATAAGTTTTATAAATTGTATTATTAGAATAAATATTTATTAATTAAGTTCAAATTATTTTTTAAATTTTGTTTTTTTTTTATTTTTTTTAAGATATTAAATTAAAGTTTCTTTTTAAATCTATTTGACTTTAACAAAATATCTAAACCTTTAGTTTTGCTAATTTTTTTATTAAGATTTTAATAATTTTATAGTTTTAATATAGTTTTACCTTTTTTTGAATTTTACAAATTTTTTTAATATAATTTATTAAATTTTAACTTTTACTATTTAGATAATCTGTAAAATCTTTAGATTTTGTCTAATAATCTTATATTAAACTATATAATTAAATTATAAAACTATGTATTTATTAATAAGATTTATATATTTTAACACATATAATAAAATTTTTATTATTATTTTTATTAAATTTATCATATTTAAATATTATTATTTATAATAAATTTATATAAATATTTATAAATAATAATTGAAATTAACTAATATTTTAATATTTAATATTTATAAATATTTTATATAATTTATATATTTTTTATATTTTAATAATATGATATTATTATATATTTATTAAAGTAATATTTAAAAGATATAAAATATAAAAATAATTAAATTATATATAATTAAAAAATAATAAAATATAATTAGTATTATTGTTCTATCTAAACCTATTTAATTTATTTAATCATTAGCATTTTAATAATAATATACTTTCAACAAAAAAAATATGAATGAAAATGTCAATTTTTATCATTTTTATCTTAATTCTCTTAATTATAATAAAAGATAAAACTAAATTAAAGTCTTATATTTTGTTTACGTTTATATTTATTAAATAAATCCCTTTAAAATAAATAACTAAATAAAAGAAAAATAAAATAATATCAAATAATTTTATTGTATTTTTAGCTAAAACATTTAATCAATTTTAAGCTATAGTTATTATTTGGTATAGGTAAATTCAAATTATTAAATTTTAATAAAATTTTCAGAATATTACTTTTATATTAAGATATTTATTAAATTAAATTATAGTTTATTCTTAAAATAAGATAATATTTATTATATAATCATTCAATTTTGAAAAAATATTATATAAAATTTTATAATTTTCAATGTTAATAATAAAAAAATTGTCATTTAAAAAGAAAAAATGAAAAATTATTATATAAAAATTATTTATTTAAAATAAATTATTGATCTTAATAGTCAATTCTAATGTTTACTTTTATAAGTTGAAATAAAAAGTAATAAAAAAAATTAATAAAAAATATTTTGTAAACGGTTGACTAAAGTATTCAGGTATTTTACTAATTCGTGAAGTTGGAAGGGTACTATACTATAGGGGGTACTTTAGTTTAAGAGGAGGGTACTACACTATACCATATAAGGTCTACTATTTGAAATTAAATTAACCAATAAGAAGTTTAAATATTTGCATATATATAGTGTGACTTAGTTTTTTAAAAAATTTTTTTAAACGAAAATTTTCTTTTTTAAATAAAATTTTATTTTTTTTCAAATGTAATTTAAGAATTTACAATAATTTTATCATTTATTGCTAATCATAAAGTATGTTTTAAACCTTTTTTTTTGTTTCGCATTTTAACTTTTGTTTTTTTTTATCTTTTCCTTTTCATTTTTTTTTGATATAGTTGTTTACTGAAATAAATCTGTTAAAGAGTAACAACAAAATAAAAAAGACAATGGTGTGCTAGAGAAAAGTTACTTATAATAAAATATGCAGAACAATGTGAAAGTAAGCGTTTAACTGCAAAATGATTTTAAATAGAATCAAAGCAAATTTGAGACTGGATAAATCAAAAAACTAAACTTGAAAATGCAGTACCATATATTCAAAAATTACATAAAGGCAAAAGTCTAGCTTTTTCAGAACTTGAAAAAAAGCTTTCTTTATTGGTGATTGATCTGCGTAAAGCTGCAAAAGCTGTTACATGAAATATGATAATTAGAAAAGCAAAATTATTTGCTAATGAAAAAAAATGAATAGATCTTTATACAGATATTAAAGAATTTAAATTTTCAGAAGTATAGTTAGAGGGATTTATGAAAAGATACAATTTTACTACAAGAAGAAGAACTCATATTACTCAATATCTTCCTAAAAATCTTTTAGAAAAGTAGCAAAACTTTTTAGCTTTTATTTTATATAGACGCATCTAATATAACTATCTATTAAAATATATTAGTAATATAAATGAAACTTCTGTTACATTTGATTTACCTTATTCAATTACTTTAGATCATTATGGTACTTTAACCATTAATATATAAATAACAGGTCATGAAAGTCAAACTTCACAGTTATTTTAGAATGTATGGCTGATGATATAAAATTACCAGCAGTTTGTATTTTCAAACTTAAAAATATTCCAAGAGAATCATTTCCTGAAAGAATTTTTATTCATGTAAATGATAAAGAATGGTGTAATGAACAAGAAATACTCTGGTGAATTGAGAATGTATGGACTCAAAGAAATTTATTAAATAATTCAAGATCTTTACTAGTTTTAGATTCTTTTCAGAAACATCTTATAGATTCAGTAAAAAAATAAGTTTAATGAAAAACAAATAAATATTGCAGTTATTCCTGTAGGCTTACAAGTAAATTACAACCATTAGATGTAGCAATTAACAAAAGTTTTAAAGTAAATCTACGTCAATATTACAATAATTAGATGAGTTCTAAAGTTCGTGAATTAACACCTTCTGAAAAAATCAAAAAACCTTCATATACTAATGTTGCTAGTTAGGTAAAAAGATCATGGGATGATATTGATATTAATTTAATTCAAAAATTATTTAAATGTTATGGTATTTCTATTGCTAGAGATAGTAGTGAAGATGATTTGGTATTTGATTATAATAGTTTGCAAAAGAAAAAAAGTAAAAAAACTGAATTAATTTATATTAATAATAAAGAAAATCAAAGTAATGATGAAGAAGATAGTTATGATAGTGATACAGATGATATAAATGAATATGAAAAATAAGAAATAGATTATGATAATAAATATAATTCATAGATTAATTTGATGTATTTTTTTTTTGATTATATAATAAATTTTGATATTTTTTACAATTTATATAAATACTACAGTATATAAAAAAAAATCAGTGTATAATACTTCAAATATTATACAAATTTTTGCAACTTTTTTTCAAAGTCCTTATGTATAATACCCGGGTCTTTTAGATCAGATTTATGGGAAGGATATTATACTATAAGGGTACTTTAGTCAACCATTTATGATAATTTATATTTTTATTTATCCCTTCAAGCATTTTGCAGGCAAATTTGCTTATAATTTTATTTAATAATTAAAATTATTTATAATAATTTTAAATATTTTAAAATAATTTATTTAAAAATTAATATTTTTATAAGTAAAAATTCAAAAAAAAAAATGTAATTAATTAGTAATATTTTAAAGATAAATATATGATAAATTATTATGAAAAAAATTAAAATTTTAAATTTATATATTTTGCTATCTATTGATCTCAGAAATATAAAAATATAATTATTTAATAAGTTCTAATGAAATAAATTAACAAACTAAATTTTATTTTCTTACAATTATTTTTTTTTTTTAAAGATATGGTGATGCAATATTTTATTATAAAAAAATCAAATTCAGTATAAAATATATAAAAATCCTAAGACAAGTACCAAAGTAAAAAAATAAAAATTGCTACCTAATATTCTTCATTAAAAAACTAGCTTCTATTAGATTAACTGATTATTCTATCTAATTCTGATCATAAAGATTCATTAAATAATCATCAATACCAAACTGAATGAGTGAAATGTTAGAACAACTGGTTATCACTAGTCTAAAAAAAGGGACTAATATCAACTATATTTATAAGAATTATTAATTAGAGTAAAATGATCTAAGCTATCTGTATTATCAGCAAATTGTATGTTAAAAAAATTATTAATGAAAAAATTAATATTGGATGAAGTAAAATTACATTTTTTTTATCGCTTGGTTATATGTAGAGATCTTTCTTTAACTGAAGTTAAATCACATCTAGTTTTCATATATTATTATAGCCATAATCAAAAATAAAATTAAAAAAAGAAGAAAAGAAAGATATAATAATAGAGAATGATTTGGTAAAGTTGTTAGAGTTGATGATAAAATGACAAAAATAATACTTTTAATAATATTAATAAAAGAAAAATCATGTAGATTTGCTTATATTAACTATATTGAATAAGATAAATTTAAAAGATTATTGATATTATTTATAAAATCAGATTTTAAAGTATAAATGAATATTTATAGTTTTAAGTGTATAATAGAGTTAGAGATCAAGAATCGTAAGTATTATCTAATGTTAGGACATAATTAAAGGTAATTAAAATCTTCATTATGATTATCACAATGACAACATTTTCAGAAAGGTAAATATATTTGAGATTGGACGGCTTTCATAAATTGAATCATTAGAAGTTGTTCAAGAAGA